CCATGTTCAAATTTGGGACAATTTTGACTTTTTTTTGTTATATTTCGTTAGTTTTTTTTGTTTCGTTGAATTTTTTTGCATACTTGAATTTGAGCTGCTTGGGTGCATGAAATAATGGAATTTGGTGATTCAAAAATTATATTAATGATATTTGGTGTATGTTGAGGCTTATCCGGGAACCGCATGAAATGTCGAGCATCTTGTTCGTAACATGGCGAACAACTTGCGGAAAAAGTGTTTTTAAATTATATAAAATCGAGCGAAATGAAAATCGAAACTTGTTTGGGCGTCGAGTATCGCATGTAGAGCTATGATAAAAAATCGAGAAGGTTTTGCGACGTCGGATGCCTAAAACCCGACGCCTCTCGATCATATGCGGAGATATGCGGGTTTTACATAAAACCTTACTCGATTTTTATCATAGCCTCTACATGCGATACCACGACGCCCAAACAAGTTTCGTGATTTTCGGACTTCGTTCGGATTTTATATAATTTAAAAACACTTTTCCCGTAAGTTGTTCGTCATGTTACATCAACAAGATGCTCGACATTTCATGCGAGTTCCTGAATAAGGCCTCAACATACACCAAATATCATTAATATAATTTTTTGAATCACCAAATTCTATTATTTCATGCACCTGCAGTTCAAATTCGAAGTATGCAAAAAAATTCAACGAAACGAAAAAAACTAACGAAATATAACAAAAAAAAGTCAAAATTATCCCAAATTTGAACATGGAGTTTTAAATAATGTGGGAAGACCTCACAAAAAAAATGAGGCAAAAAAAAACAAAAACAAAAAAATTTCTTCCCCGAGTGCCCGAACAGGACACTCGGGGAAGGCAGCCTCTTCCCCGAGTGCACTGTCCTGGCACTCGGGAAAGGGCCTCTTCCCCGAGTGTTAGGGAAGGCACTCGGGGAAGTATTCTTTTTTTTTTAAATTTTAACGGCGTTGGCGGGTTGAACCGTCAAGTAGTATGTTTCTTTGTCGAGTGCCGATCTTCCCCGAGTGTTACACTCGGAGAAGAGGACCTTTCCCGAGTGCTGCTCTTTACCGAGTGCAAGGATCTCTGCGGCACTCGGGAAAGCCTCTCTTCCCCAAATACAATTCTTTCCCGAGTGCAACACTCGGGAAAGATTCTCTTCTCCGAATGTCCGATTTTTAGCACTCGAGGAAGCTAGAGACACTCGGAGAATTTTGTCTCTCCCGTAGTGCGAGCCCATTTGCCCATCTCTCGCTCCAAACGGAATAAATCAATCAGCCGCACACTACCCTAGTACAGCACCCTGCTGCAGCTCGGTGCGCTGCACCCGATCGGTGACCAGACATGCATCTCCCAAGCTCGTGCCAGGCTTGCGGTCAGACGAGACCCCCCAATAGATTATCGCAAACACCACGTCCCGACTGAAACATTTCAGAAGAATGGTTCCGGCTGTTGGGTGCGCGCAGGCAGAATCTAGCGCCAGCGCGTCGCTGCTCGCGGACGGGCCGACAAGCTCTCGCGCTCATGTGCGCCCCGACGACGGTAAACCAGCTGCCCAGCTCGGTTGGTTGGTTGGTTCGGTCGATGGGGAATCGGAACAACATTCCCTTGTTGACAAAACCTGTCACGCGCTGTCAGAGCAGAGAGGCTCAGAGGCTCGGTGATCAGAGCTGCTGGATAAGATAAAACGGGAAAAGGTTACGAGTAGTACGTGAGTTGAGTTGGAAACGGTTGGTTCAGGGCCAGCCGTGCAGATTTAACAAAGATCGGATTGGTTATTCTGATGCGAAAGCGAAGCCACTGTCAGTCAGCGGGGGGTCGTCAGTCGTTGTCTGAAGAAGGAGCTCTTGGATGCTCTCTCATCCATCTCGAGCCCGACTCGACGGATTCTTCGTGTCTTTTTTGCTGCGGTTTTGAGGCGAACGGGCAATACGTACAACTACACGAACAAGTGCAGGAAGTTGGAGCATTGCCGCATCGGCATCGGACGTCGAGTCTTGGCGCCAGTAAGACAGGTTTGGCGCCAGCAAGAACTGCGTCGAGCTCGACGTCAAGATCTATGGCGTCGAGCTACTTGCCATGTCACCGTTACGTCTGCGTCGAGTTCAAAGGGTACAGATTTTAAAATCTTATCTTTAGGGATATATTTGTGAAAATTTTCAAAAAATGGCTAAAAAATAAAAAATTCAGGTTTGGTGCCATTGTCGCCTAAATTTTTTTTTACAGATTGACATTTTTTTTAAGAAAATTTACGTTTAGCCCTCTGAGAGACTTAAACTCATCTTTGGACCCTGGGGGTCGATGCCAGGACTCATGGCGCCGAGGTAACACGTCTCGACGCCACATATCTTAGCGCCGAGGTCGAAGACCAGATGATAACATGGCGCTGATATGGCTCCGACATGGCATAGCTCAACGCCGTGAAGCAGGTACCGCGGCGCCAGAATATATGGTGCCGAGCTCGACGCTATGATCATATTCGGATAGTATAGTTTTAAAGGAATTTATAAGAGAAAAACACTATTCCAAATTAAAAAAACGGATCATCGCAGATTTAAGTCCACGGGAATGGGCCTATAGATTTTGGCGCCGACCTGACACGCATCCGCGCGATGGGATGGATGCGGGAGACACGAGCGCGAGGCGGACTGCGGCGTGCGGCGTGCGGCTGCTGCATGCCCCCTAACCCCCCTCCCTCGGGACGCGTGCAAGCTCAAAAGGCTCACCAACTATCTTCACTGTAGTGCCCTGTCGATCGTCCTGCTGCAGCCCCTTCAATTTTTGTTTCTCGGTGGTTTTCAAAATTTTGTAAATTTTTTTCACATCAAATCTTTAAACGCATGCATGAAGCATTAAATATAAATAAAATATAAAACTAATCACATAGTTTAGACGAAATTCACGAGACGAATCTTTTAAACCTAATTAGACTATAATTGGATACTAATTGTCAAATAACAACTAAATTGCTACAGCACCATTTCTCAAATTGCAAATTTTTTCAAGATTTCTCGTCACATCGAATCTTTAAACGCATGCATGAAGCATTAAATATAAATAAAAAATAAAACTAATTACACAGTTTAAACAAAATTCACGAGACGGATCTTTTAAACCTAATTAAACTATAATTAAACACTAATTACCAAATAACAATGAAAATATTACCGTACCATTTCCTACAGAATTTCGCCAACGAAAATGCTGCCAGTGTATTAATCCCAGCGGCAGGCAGGCTGCATTGAACCCATGCCAACCACTCCTCAGAATTCGAATTGAAAGTTTTCACTGTGCTGACGTAGCTTGAGTTAAGTTTTCACCGCGCTGTAAATAAAGACAACTAGCATAAAAACAAAGAAGATAAGTGAATAATGGCTCTGACAGCGCCAGCTTGCCCTGCTGAACAAGACGGTGAGCTCTACGTCATCAGGAAACCTGACCTGATGAGGACCAAGATCGTCGATGGGACCAGCCTGGCCGCCACCGCCGTGCTCCACATGATCCCTCGGGGCACCACCGACACGCTCCTCTGGGAGACGCCGGTGGCGAGCACTACTTACACAAATGATTTTACGTGACACCCTCAGAGGCCACCGATGCGGCATCTATTTTTGCCTATTACAGTAAATACCACGGTTTACCTAGCCGGACATTTTTTATTTACCACGGCGGGCATTTTTGCCCGCCACGGTAAATTGATTTACCATGGCGGACGTCTTAAGATGTTCGCCACGAAAAATACCCTATTTTCCGCGACGGACATCTTAAGACGTCCGGCACGGTAAATAGATTTACCGTGGCGGGTATCCTAAAATGTCCGCCACGGTAAATACCCTATTATCCGCGGAGGACATCTTAAGACGTCCGCCATGATAAATCGATTTACCGTTGCGGACATCGTAAAATGTCCGCCACGGTAAATCGATTCACTGAAACACATCACCCACATCCCTCGCACCATCGTCGCCGCCTCCCCCACTCTCTCTCTGTCAGCTCCCCGCCTCACCCACTCTCTCTCTCAGCTCTCCGCCTCCCCCACTCTCCCTCTACTCTCCCTCGATGCGGCGGCGGCCTCTCCTCTAATGCCATGAGGCCTCGAGACGGCGGATCGAGGGCGCCTGGGCGACAGCCGCGGCACGGGGAGCAGCGGCAGGCTGCGCCCTCCTCCCCCATGGATCCTCCATGAACGACGACAGCGTGGGGCTAGGGTTTCAAATCCAGTGAGTTCATCTCCCTCTTCCTCTCCATCCCCCTCTTCCTCTCTCTCCATCTCCCTCACTCCTCCCTCTTCCTCTCTCCAGATCCGGCGACGACGACCTCTTCCTCCACGGATCCGGCGGCGGCGACCTCCTCCCCCACGGATCTGGCGGCTGCACCCTCCTCCTCCGTGGATCTAGCGGTGGAGCGACCGGATCCGGCGGTGGATCTCCACCACGGCCACGACGCTGGGACCTCCACCACGGCGGGCGAGGACGTGTCGGCGCGGCGGCGTCCCTCCACCACGGCGCGGCGGGATCCGCGAGGAGGCACGGGGATCCGCGAGGAGGCGTCGGCCTGTCCCCTGCGAGCGACTGACGAGGTGGTGGCGGCCCTGCAGTGGCGTCGGCGTGTCCAGCCGGCTTCTCCAGAGACGCTGGGGCCCGGCCGGCTACTCCTCTTCTCCCTCCCCGAGCGGCACGGATCTGTGGCCGTGGGAAGCCTGGATCCGTCGCCGGTGGGCTCGCCAGTGGGCTCGAGAACGGGCTCGCGCGGCGGGCTCCTGTTTTTTTTTGTTTTTTTTAAGATGATTAACCGCAGCGAGCATCTTAACGTGCCCACCGTGGTAAAAGTATATTTACCGCGGCGGGCACGTTACACCGCCCGCCGCGGTAAATCGATTAACCGCGGCGGGCAAGGCCGTCCGCCGCGGTTAAGCCACGATTTACCATGGCCTCTAGGCCGCGGCGGACGGCTTTGCCCGCCGTGGAAAACCGAAAATGCCTTCCTGCAGCAAAGTTTGTGTAGTAGTGAAGATGGCGGCCGTTCTGGCTTCGGCGCTCTGCCAACGAGAGATCCAGGTACGTAGGTAGCTGCTGTTGCTGCCATGCGTTGTTAACATTGCTGCCATATCACAAACGATGTTGGATTTGTTTGTGAACGAGAATCCGTTGGTTGACGCATTCGTGCAGGTTCAGATAGTCGACAAGGACCTGTACGAGTCTCTGAAGCAGGAGCTGCGCCCACAGACGCACGAGCATCTTGTTCTCCTTTCTGGCTGGAGTCACTGCAGCAGCAAGGTGTGGCTCGTCGGCGACAAGCTGACGGGCGAGGAGCAGAGGAGAGCCCAGGCCCGCGTCCACTTCGTGCCATACTCGCAGTTCCCTCCCGACGCCGTCCGCGGCGACTGCGTCTACCACAGCACCCCGGCGCTGGTGAGACGACGACGACACCGATCGAGGAACTAGTGGACTAGTAGTCGCGATCGAAGAGCCTCCGGCCAGCCTCGAACGACGCGAAGGCGTCGACGCAGGCGTACTTGAGCTGGTCATTCGTCAGCTTGCGCGCGTCCCACGCTCTGACACGCACATGGCGCGGCTTCTCCATCCTGACGCCCACAGAAGAAGGGCACTGCTACATGCTAGCTTTTGAATAAAAACAAGACAAATGGCAGACGCTGCATAGGAAGAGAAGTTCCTGTTGGATATCCATGCTCGGCGCCGTGTTCGTGACGCCACACGTCATGTCGAGGTACTGGTCACATCAATGTTATTTAGAATTTCGGTCAGGTACCTCGGCGTTAAGATTTATGACGCCGAGACGTGTTACCTCGGCGCCTTAAGCTCTGGCACCGACCCTAAGGTCCAAGATGAGTTAGGGCTAAATGTAATTTTTTTTCAAAAAAAGAGCTAAATCGTAAAAAATTAGGCCATTGTCGCACTGTGCGTTCGTCAGTCATCACATGTTTCCAGCTAGTACCGTGCATGCGTACAGCCATTCCGATCGTCCGGACTGTCGGAACGCACACAGAAGCCCGCTACCGACGTGGTAAGAGAAAAGGAGGTGGAACTGGATGGATAGTACATAGCCCTTGCCTTGGTCCGGTCGGTCGCTGAACCGTGACTCTCTGCTTCCTGGACTCGACACGTCTCGCGACGAGTGGCAACAGTGCGGGCGCAGGAAACAGGCATCTGCCCATCCAGCTCGCCAATGGCCGACGACTCGACGCGAGCGAATGAAGTAATGAACGATGGGGGGCGGGCATTTCTGGGGCCGTCCAGATCGAGATGCCAATGCCATCACCGCCACCGGTGGATGAGGGCTATGTGGCCATGTGGGAGAGAGAGAGGAGCGAGGGGCATGGACAACTTCTAACATGCTACATTAGGCTAGTGCGGAGGCCGAGCGAGAGGGACGGCGACGGTTCCCGGTCCGACGGTGCCGCTGGCGACGAAAGTGACTCAACTGCTGCATCATGCACGGGAAGGGACCAACGTACTTCACTCATCATCCGCCCAACTTTGTGGATCTTAATCCTAGCGCAGTGTTCGTCTAACCCTAGGTGGCGACGTGGCGTTGGGATATATGGATATAGAGGGTGGAACAGGGAGAGAGAAATGAATGAACGGCAGGATCAAATGACGCGTAAAGAATAGATGACTAGCGTACAATTTTCTCTAACCCTATTCCAATCCCTATCCCTATCCATGTCCAAACGTCGCCTAGCTGTTTAAATGGTCACCAAACGGTTTAAACGACCGCTAAACGGTAGAGTGGCGTGTCACGCTGCACTTCGTTTCCCGTGCACGTGCCTGCACTCCGTGTCCCGCGCTCGACCTAGCACGCCTTCGTCCGCGCCAGCGTTTCGCGCGTCCACGTGGGGCCCATGCTGCCCGGATGTCACCCGCGCTGCCAGACGGTGCGTGGGGATCCCTCGCGCCCCTCCGCTTCCCACGCGCATCTCATATGCAACACTCGATCTACTTTTGAGACATTCAGATGTAACATTTGCAACATACATCTGAAGGCCGATGAAACATTTGAAAAAGGCTTTTGAAAAACTAAAAAAAACATCTAAAAACGCTTGAAAACCATTAGAAACATACGCAACATTTGGATAAAACACTTGCAACATATGTGCGAAATATATGCAACACCCAGATAAACACATTGCAACATACATCCAAAACACATATGAAATATTAGGAACAGACGCAACATATAAATTTGTATACTTAAGTTTATAATACTCATAAATACGTATACTTGAAATACTTGATTTTTGCTTTATATATATATACACACACGGTAAGGCTATTCTACCGCTGGCACAGAATAACTTATTCTATGGCCACCTTGATTTACGATAATGTTTGTACCAATTTACGATAATGACAATACACATTTACGATACATTGATTACTATAATTCAAGATGATAGTTATCATAATGCTATAGTAAATCACTTATGAGATTGTTACCATAATCTCGTAAATTAGTATAATAATTATCGTAACTTAAAGTGACCATAGAATAACTTATTATTCGGCTAGCTACATAACAATACGTGTGTGTATATATATATATATATGATTTTACGTCAATAAATATGTATATTTTGGTAACCTTGTGTAAAACCATTCAGATCGTTTTAATCCATTTAAACATTGTCTACACCGTTTAAATGCTAAATGACGACTAACTGTTTATCATTAAGGCCCTGTTTGTTTCTTTTATAATCCATTTTTTTCAGTTTATTTTTTAGATGGAACAATATTTTTCTCTCACAGCAAATCAGCCGGAACAGTGTTTCGTCTTATTTTTTCAGCGAAGTGAACAGAGCCTTAGTGTTTTGGGATAATAACACTGACCTAGGGACTCACGCCGATTTGATCTAGGCTAGGCTTAGTCCCCTAGCGGCTCGAGCCGATTCAATTTGCGCTAGGCTCAGTCACTGGGTTGATGGAGCGATTCATTGGCGACGGCTCCCCCGGAGCTCATCATGGCTAGCGGCAGATTGGCGTCTATCGCGAGGGGGCGTGCGGATGCTGCGACCGACAACAATGGTGATACGGGATGGAACCCCTAAGGCTGTCTCTCGAACCTAAACCCAATAAACCCAAAATAAGTTTCCAACACAATACCTATGGCCTCCAACAGAGTACCTATATAAAAAATCTATTTTAGATACCAAGAGAGGTATAACTCAAATCTAAGTATCATCTCTTCTGTAGATCTATTTATAGAAAGAGTTGTTTTTTGGATCTTGTTGTTGGAGAAGAACAAAAATAGATATTGAACCATTTGTCTGTAGCGCTACCCAAAGAACGAATGTGTCTTATATTTTAGGTCACGGTTGTTGGAGACAGTCTAAGGGCACTCCCAATACAGAAACCATCATAGTTTCTATGGACATTAATTATATTACCACCTAAGTGTTTTGCTGATGTGACAAGTTAGTTATTGGAGAGAGAGCAAAAATCTTAGAAACCGGGTCTAAGTTAGAAAACATATCTACACGAGAACCAAGACATGAAGGGACGTGATTAGTAAAGAATGGAGAGAAAATATATATGATTGAATAAAAAATTATTCTATAAAAAACTATCAATTAGAACCATAATTTATATATATATATATATATATATAGTGTATATAGAAATTAATAGACAGAGACTAGCATTGGACTGCCTAAAAAACGCCTGCTATAATCACAACAGTAACAACAGCCATTTTCAGGGAGCTTCAGTCCAGGGCCGTGTCCATGGGCGTGCAAGCGGTGCGCTCGTACAGGGACCCTAAGTCCGCTGGGCCTAAAAAACTATGGACTAATTATCTTGTAGTATTTGTCAGTGAAAATATTTCTTTATTTTAAACAATAATTACTAATTACTACGGAGTATATGTTTGGCGCAAAACAGTTGTGCTGTGCAAAGCGCTTGGTGCTCCATAGACTCATATCTGACAAAAAAAATCACAAATTATTACTCACAAGCCTACATGGTAATTTATTTTTATTTAATCACAATTGCGTTAAATAATTCAAAAACACCAATAAAATGATGTTCTTCAAATAAAGACAACCTAGAATTGAATAATTACAATTCCTGATTTATTGCATTTCTATGTGTATATTATTATCGTTTTCTTTTTCTAGATTGGTAGGACCTATTTTAAAATTTGGAACAAGGTCCGGAATTTTGCCGGCAAGGCCCTGCTTCAGTCCTCAACTCCACAGAATAGCTGTGTAGGAGGAAATATTGCATGTCTCAAGCTGCCAAAACTATAGCCACAACAAGCAGCACGACCCCAAATATGACCATAGGCAATCAGATCTGCCAACGAAAGGATTTGTTAAAGTGCATAATAGACACAGCAATAAAGCTTCGGTAATTTGCATTAGTCTGAACTCTGAACTTACTAGGGACGAATTCGATTTCTGAGTCTCGGTGCCTGTTTAGTTCCTAAAATTTTATAAAATTTTTCAAGATTTTCCGTCACATCGAATCTTTGGACGCATGCATGAAGCATTAAATATAAATAAAAAATAAAACTAATTACACAGTTTAGACTAAATTCACGAGACGAATCTTTTAAGTCTAATTAAACTATGATTGAACACTAATTATTAAATAACAACGAAATTGCTATAGTACTATTTTCTAAAAAAAATTCGCCAACTAAAGAAGCCTTGGGCTGCTTTGGCGACCTCTGTCTTTGCCTCTTTGGTTGCTGCTGTCTTTGCCTCTTTGGTTGTCTTTGCCTCTTTGGTTGCTGCTGCTGCAGAATTTTCAATGCTCATGTTGACTTCCTCTGGAGCAGGGTAGTGTACACATTAGCTTTTTGAAAGATCCGATTGTCCGGCTTTGATTAATAATAAGAAGAGGTGGCATACATCAGTTGGTTACATGCCCGAGCGGCGCTCTCTACTGCAACCTATGCTGCATTAGGTTTTGGTTTACAAAGGCTAATTACTCACTACCTTGTCGGACGATCATTAGAGGTTTGAGAGCCGCCCCTTCTGCCAAGTACCTAGTATCCTTAATCTACATAAACATAGGCTTTGCTGACCTTCTATCGCAAGATGACAGCAACCGGCATACTTCCATCTTCCCCGTTACGCACATCACAAGTTACAAAAGACCCTAACTCCACCGATTGACCGGTCGGTGCTGGCACTGAACTAACAACCATTGATCAAATTGACACAACATTTTGGGCTGCGTCATTGGTCCTCCGTCTCCGCAGCATCAGACTCCTCAACCGCACTGAACTAACACAGAGGGTTCGGCTGGTATGATTTTTTTACTGTTCATGCTGAAAACAGTGTTCATCCTGGAATGTTGTGAGAGAAAAACACTGCTCCGGCTGAAAAAAGAAGCTAAAGAAGCCGGCTCGTAGCTCAGCCGAACACTCTGAGCCCCGCACGCCGTCCCGCCTCGTCCCATCGCTGCCCACTCCGTCGCCC